CTGCTGCTACTGCTGCTACTGCTGCTACTGCTGCTACTGCTGCTACTGCTGCTACTGCTGCTACTGCTGCTACTGCTGCTACTGCTGCTACTGCTGCTACTGCTGCTACTGCTGCTACTGCTGCTACTGCTTCTACTGCTGCTACTGCTGCTACTGCTGGTTATTTAAGTGTGTCTCTAGTCGTTGTGTATTTTGACATATGGACTGTTAGGTAGCTGTTTCATTGAGCTACAGCTGGGGTTAGGTAATAAAACTGGAATGCTGTATAACTTCTCTGTTCAATAAGTAATCAGCTACTCATGGTTTTCAAGGCATGTAATAAAAATAGGACTATCATTTCACAAGAGGTCAAAGATTGAAATAAAAATACCAAATTCTATTTGATATAGCCTAGCAGCCAACCAGCAGCGCGGATATACATAATCAATGCCGCCTCCTGATCTATCTAGAACCAGCCGTCCGCCTTTCTTTCTACTACATAGATCCCAGCTTAAACAGTTACCAAAAAAAATAAAGGCCTTCCAAATGCGAATGAAGCTCGCTGCCAACCAATCAACCGTTATGTCCGACAAATGAGATCGACAATGCTAATGCAGTGAAATAGATGCTTGTGTGGTATCATCATCATATTCTTTTTTTTCCTCTATATTCTCCTCGCCGGCTCCGTGATGTTGTAGCCACTCTGATATTCATCAATCAGTGCAGCGCGAGAATGCGTTTTGCGTTTTCGTACACCACCCACGTTATACTCAACGCCGGGGCAACCTTGAGAAGGTTTGGCGTCAGGCCCTTGTAGAGTCCGCGGAAGCCTTCATGCTGGATCGTCTTTTGCGTAACGTCCCAGATTCCTGTGTATGTTTGAGGGTGCATGACCGTGCCTTGCGTCTGTAATCGTGTTCGCACCACGTTTAGTGGATAGACAACCGACGCGCCAAAGGCTCCGGATGTTGCGCCGATGATTCCCGTGGCGATATTACCAGGTTCAACGTCGTCTTCGTGGCATCCCGCATATTTGGCATAGCGGATGCGGTAAGATTGCTTGAGAAACTCAAATGTTCCCATGTCGATGGCACTATAGGGGAACATGCCGATCAACCCCATAGTGACACCCCGGTAGCAGGCTCGCAGACCGCCATCTGCGTACATTTTCAAGGCCGTCTGTCGGACAAGGGCGCTCCCCGTCAGGCCACCTTTGACAGTTTCGCACTGAAGCCGGAATTTGAGAGTATCGAGGGGATAGACGCAGAATCTAATGAGCAAAGCGTGGTTAGTAAAAAAAAAAAAAAATTCAGAGTAATTCAACACCAAGCTGCTTAGGATCCATCAGTTGTAACGTACTGGGCAATCATTCCAGCCATGCCGCCAGCAACAAATTTTGAATACGAGTTGATATTTCTGGCATCGCCATGGCCCTCAAAATTGGCCAGCGCTCGCTTGGCAGCTTCGTATGATCCAAACTTGATGGCCGTCTCCGGCATGATCTTTATAACATTCAATCCATTACCTGTTGTTTTTTAACATTCAATGGTTAGCCCATTTGCACAAAAGACATTTACTGCTCATAACCATGGTGAACAACGTGCTTACCGGCAAAAAAGCTGCGGATTCCGCCCGATCGATACAGATCCTTCATGGCATCGCTAAAAGGCCTGGCTGCGTTTCTCAGGGCATCAATGATGCGGCCCTGCTTCAGAGCCCCTATCGCCGTCTCGGCACCGCTGGTGGTGTTGACGAGCAAATACACCTTTAGTCGGTCAAGCGGAGCAGTGGCCGTCCGCGACACTCCACCGGCGATGGCACCCGCGAGGAAGTAACCTGGATGGGGAGCAAAGTCTGTCAGTCTAAACTTCTTTCTTTTTGTCGGTAAAGCTCCGGTTGAGGAGGACTCTTCACGGTGCTCGACTGAGATGCCATCGCCGTCGGTCTCTGTAACGGCATCATCTGCCCCTGACGGATCCTGCTCGACTTCTGAAATTTCGACAGCAGACGCATGCGCCGTCGCGTCAACAAAATTTCCTCTTGCATGTTGTAGCGGCACTTGGAGCGCCGAGTTTGCTATCCCAGCGGCTTGCGGAGGAGACGGTGGAGGAGGTGATGGAAGCTCTGGGGGCGTCCTTGGATAGGACGAAGGAAAGGCCACTCTTAGGAGAGAGCCGAAGAGGATATTAAGAAAAGAGCTAGAAGAACCGGCCCTACCTAAGCCTTCCAATGTTTCCCCACTCACGAGAGAGTCTCCCTCAGGCGTGACATTAACCACCGAGTAATAAAAGGACAGGACGGCATGGAGATGGGACGCATCCTGGTTCCCCGGCATGAAGAGCAGGAATTTCCTGGGGTAACTCGGTCAGCTGGTGGATGCCTTTTCGCCATTCAGTGCCGTGTTTCATGAGGCATATATATCAGAAGGCACAAACAGGGCGTTTTTTGGTGATCGGTCTTGTGGTGTTCGTGCCCGTGTCCCCAGCTCAAGACCGAGGCACATGACCCCTTGAGATCGTGCGCCTGACAGCGATCCACCCAAGACCAATAAACGGCCCCCATCCATGTCATGACAGGAAACAGAGATGGAGTCTGTGAATCAGAAAAACTGCTTTATGCTTCACTTACCGCCACTCGTCAAAGCTAACGTATCCATCGTTGTTGAGGTCCATGTCGCTGAAAAAATCATTAAGCCTTCGGTTCGACACCGTCAACCCCGCAGCCTTGAATGCCGTTTGGAGCTCAGGCTTGTCCAGCTTCCCGTTGCCGTCGCGATCGATGGATTTAAATAGGTCGAAGAGTTGACGCTCCGCTTGCCGTACAAAATCTCGAAACTCTAGCAGGACAGAAAGAAAAAAGCTTCGAGTCAGTAACTGTAGCTAGCTCGAGCTGTGTATAAGGCGGCCTGCGCGCGCCAGGAACAATTGATCATGTACCTTCATATTGAATCTTTCCGTCGCCGTTTGTATCCACCTCGTTCATGATCTTTTTCAGCATCGCATCCGCATTCTTCAGCGCTGTTTGCAAGAGAGAGAAAAAGTCAACAAACGCCCAGATACTCATTTGTGGGGTAGGATGCGCCGCTGCGCAAAAGAGAGAAGAAGCAGCTTCTTACGGTGATCTATCTTTTTGAAGCCCTTCTTCAAGCCCTTAAAGTCCAGCTCTCCGCTGGCGCTGGGCTCCAGCTGAGCCCAGAGACTCTCAATGCGATCATGATGCTGGGTTTGCGGCTCATGAAGCCCTTTCTCCACCTCGGTAGCTGGCCTAGACTGTGTCATGGCTCTGGCATTTCTCGAAGGCGACGTCGAAGCGGCAATAGGGATGCCGCTATGGAGTGAGGAATTCTGCAGGCACGTCGTCTTGTGTCGTTCCGGTGTTATCTCAGCCGCATCGTAGAGGTCTGGAGGCTTGCGATCTGGCGGGCGATGCCAATTGAGAAACGGGGACAGCAACTGACGTCGTAGCTCGGGAGTAGCAGGATTGGAGGCCGCGGGTTAACGGACGGCTCTTTTAGGGAGGAATAGCCTTGGTAGCGCTGTGCTACGGGGGGTTTAGCGACCGCTACGTAATAAATCGCAGGTGTTTGGTTCGGGGCAATTAAGGGGGGGGGTTGCTCTGATAAGGATAAGGCACGTCGCTTATCGCCCCGCAGCCTCTCCCGTCCGAGCGTAGATTGGCTCGACGATACAGTCTTACATGCAGTGCTGCTATTCTTATACGACACGCTTTCTCTCAGCCTAGCAATCATCACTTATCCAAACCAGAGTCAGTCGTTACACACTCCTTTCATAGAGTTACGCGTCCGTCCTATCTCGCTGTCGGAGGGAGAGGCGCTCTCGCGGCCTCGTACTCCGCAGCCATGTCCGCCAATTACTGGGAGTCGACGCAGAAGCGATATTGGCTATTTACCAAAGATGAGCTGGCATTGATGCGGCAGAAGCTGGAGGACGAGAACCCCGAGATCGTGCGCATGTTTCCTCTCCCGCAGCCAAGACACCTAGCCATCTATTTCAACCAACGTGAGTCACCCGTGTTGCTTCTCGATGTCATCGTTTCCCAGCTAATTCTCCCTCTCAAAAGAGTTGCTAAGGCTGGGGAAGCGCCTCACCATCCGCCAGCAGGCCATGGCCACGGCGCAGGTCTACCTGAAGCGCTTCTACACTCGAGTCGAGATCCGCCGCACGAACCCCTATCTTGTCATCACGACCGCGATATATCTGGCCTGCAAGATGGAAGAGTCGCCTCAGCATATCCGACTAATCGTCACAGAGGCCAGACAGCTCTGGCAGGACTTCATCGGGCTGGACACGTCCAAGATTGGAGAGTGCGAGTTCTTCCTCATTAGCGAGATGAGCTCCCAGCTCATTGTTTATCAACCCTACCGAAGCCTGCTGGCCCTGCGCAGCGAGCTCGCCCTGGTCGACGAGGACGTGCAGCTCGCAAAGTCCATCATCAACGATCACTACATGACAGACTTGCCGTTTCTCTGCTCGCCTCACACCGTTGCGCTAGTAGCCATTCTCTTGGCTCTAGTCCTACGTCCCAATTCCTCAGTTCCGGGACAGAACTCGTCCGGAGCCGCGGCTGCAGGCCTGGCTGCCGCACAAGCTGCGCTGAGCCAGGCGCACTCAGCTCGATCAGGCCAAGGAGGCATCCTTGCCGAAATCCCGTCCACACCAGAACTCAAAGAACGGCATCAAGAAAATAGAATGACTCGCGTACATCATTTCGCAGCTTGGCTAGCCGAAAGCGACGTCGACATTGCCGCCATGGTGGACGCAACGCAGGAGATAATATCATTTTATGAGTGTTACGAACAGTATAACGACAAGCTTACTAGGGAACAAATTAATCGTTTTGTCAAGGCTCGAAATCTCGATAAGTAGGCGCTTGAGATTCCATTTGAATACCACGGCATTGGAAGCGTTGGGTTTGGCGTCTTGGGTTATGGTAATGGTTTGTGTGTTTGAAAGTCATGTTTCTACCAGGCGCTTCTCTTTTTTTTTTTTTTTTTTTTTTTTTTTACGAACACCTAGTCCGAACAGCGGCATCGATTTTACGGAAGCCTTTTCTCAAGGCATTATATTGGAAACCAGCGCTAGTCATCTATTTTGGTATACTTCTATTTCTATGTCTATTCTTCCTGGGCCAAATCTCGTCGCTGTTCGCATTTCCACTACTCTTGGATGATTTACCATCGCTCTATCGACTGCTCTTCCACGATGAAATGGCTGCTTCAACGACTTCCTTGCCTTTGTAAATGGCAATGGAATGGCTGCCAGGAATCACGCGAACGTCTACACCGTCTTCGCCCAACACCGCTCTGGTATCTTCGATCCACTCGTCCTTCACAATAAGAGCGTCTTTATCTCCCAAAATGACACAAACCCGTTGCAGTCCCCGACCTAGCTCCCGATTCGCAGCAAGTTTTTCACTCAAAACTGCCCACATCTTGTCGTGCTGGTCGTAGATTGGGGAATAACGAATGGTGCTCATATAACTGTCAACAAATGCCGGGTTGGCTTCCAGCTGCCAACCGATAACTTCACCGACTTTGACGGAGCCCTCCTGTCCGACAGCAATCCGCACGTCGTCAAAGTGGACATCTCCTTCGTCGCCCTCGGGGACATCTGCGCTCTGCCCATGCTGCGGCTCCAGTCGTGAGCGCATCCAGGTCCGGAGAAGCCACTCGGGCAGCAAGCCATGAGAATACATGAGGCGGCTCTGCCACGAGATGTGGGACTTTCGCACGAGGCCTCCCGGACAGACCGCGGTGAGAGAACGCACCATGTGCGAGTGGTATGCTGCAAAGGCGGCGATGAGGGCACCGCCTAGTGAATAGCCGATGAGGTGGAAAGAAGAGGCGCCTGTCCAGGAGAGCGATGAAGATGCCAACACGAGGAGGATCTGAGTCGTGTAGAGGCACTCATCGTATGCCGTATCGGAAGGGCCATCAGAGTAGCCTCTTCCAAAAAGATCTACATGTGCGGTGCATTCTAAGTTAGCACTCATTGCTCATATATCTGAAACTCACCCTTGAGAATGCCAAAACAAAGCAGCCAAGCAGCAAATATGAAAATGCTTACGAAAGTTCAAGCAATATAAGAAAGAAAATGAGATAGAAACATACCAAAGAGCATTACTCGATACCCCTTCCTCACCAACTCCCGCGCCATGTCCCCCATTGCAATGCACGGCGTCCCAATGCCATGTACCAGAAGCACCTTCTCGCCCTCCTCGGGACCCCATTCAAAGACCTTGATCGTACCATACACCGTCTCGACGTCCCGGCTTCCGGGGAACAGCTCCGGCGGGTACGGCACGGCCGCCGCCTTCTCGGAAGAGTCTTCCGGATCGGCGCCCACGACACCATCACGATGCTTCACGCGGACGATGTTCGTCTTTGGAGACTTTGCGCGTGGTGACAAGGTTGGCCGGACGAGCAGGTAGAGGGATATACAGGCTGCTGCTGCGAGGGCGGCGGTGCCTCTTTGCGAGAGGTGCTCGGGGCGGAAGCGATGCCCGTAGAGACTCATTGTCTTGGCCTTTTTTTTTCTAAGTTTTGGTGGTACAGCGCGAACCAGAATTTGAACGTCAAGTAAACAAGAAGATGCAAGCAATACTCCGAGTCTATAGAGGCTGAAACGAGCTTTGTTTTGGAATAGAAAGCGCCATTTTACTACATATTCTGATGCTGCGAACCTTAAGATAATCCACCTCCGAGGCCGTTGAGAGGGGCCGTTTACTCACCCCGCCGAAATGCCGAGGGTGTTTTCCTCTTCTGTTACCAGTGAATGGCCGTGTCTAAGCGGCAAAAGCGAATCTGTGCGCCTTCTAAAACTACAAATTCCGCAAATTTCAAGAGGTTACATGGAAATGCATAGGAATTTAATACCACTTTACTAATATTGAGGTTTATCTGCTTTGATCTCGTCTTTGAAAATGTTGGTGGCGGCTGCATTCTACTATGAGATAAAACACCAGATCTACCTCTCTGCTTGTATCTAGACCACATTTCGTTTTCTACGATTGATAGATATTGAGCCTTGATATTACCAATTCAGGGAAACCCCCACCCCAAAAGCTATTTGAAAGCTCCATGTTTAGTTTTGAGCTTGCTTTAGAGGAATCAATTAAAAGAACTCAGCATCAACCGATACGAAAGCATTCAGCGATGCGACTCCTTGCTTGGTACCCATTACACTTCACAGCAATTTTAACCTCCCCCAGGCCAAGAACTCAGCCTTACTTGATAAAGAAACCAGTATATGCACCATGATGTAGGCATCCAGGCAGAAATGGCGTCTATACAAAGGGAACGCAAATCGCGGGCTCAGATTAAACAGCAATTTTAACCTCCCCCATGCCAGATATCTGCAATGCTAAGCCCTCCAAATATGTAAAACTACGTCATCTCCACTAAAGCTCTGCGTATGCAAGGGCAGCACCAAAGAAGGGCGAAGTGAAAGAAGGTTTAAAAAAAGCAACAAAAAGGGAGCCTTGCGTGAGTTAATTAATTTATTGTACATACACGGCGGCATGGTGCATCTTGGCCTGCAAGTGGATTAGAGGACAGCTACAAATTCTAGATTTCGGGGCTCTGCATACGATAAGGCACGCAAGAGTGCATTAGTAGCACCTCAATAACAGGACCCTTATCTACGGCAAGCCCGTCTGGCGCAATCGCCCCGAACGGCAGCTCTCAAGATCGACAATGCCTCGGGCCAGTACGTAGCAATAACGAGAGGACGCTTCTCCGTGTGTCCGTGGAGCGGAAGACCCGGCGCCACGAAGCCACGCTTGGGGAGCAATAGAGCTCGGAATCGCACCGTGTGGCTGCTCGTGGTGGCTGTGCGCCCCGCCAGAGGTCTGAGAACCTCCAACCTTGATGGCGGTATCTCGAGGAGAGGATCCGGAATGGAGCTCCAGAGGCCATGTACCTGACCTCCAGGCGCCGGCCAAGCGCAAAGTACTCTCGGGAGCGGCTCAGGCACTTTGCAAGTCACTGCTCTGGTCACTTCTCAGAGTTCCAGGTCATTTCTCTCCACATACGGGCGACGACTCCACCACGCCGTGTCTCGCTTCTCCACCAAATGAGACCCGAGGCAGCCAACAGGAACTCGAATTCGGCGTCCATAGACACGATTTAATCCAATTAGGAACAGCTATCACATTCGCAAGTATCTGTCCCCTGTAGCCTCACCGCTTTTTCATGGGTCTGGCAGGGGTTCGTCCAGGGTTAAAGACCAGGGTGCGTGCAAGGGGTAATTCGAAGCTGTCGCTGCTTTTATCTTACCTGGGCTTGTGGCTTTTCCTCTTGGACCTTGGACCTTGGGGCGCGGGCTCGTACCCTTGTAGAAGGCGGAAAGAAGGAAAAGAAGAATGAGGGCTTGTGGATACATACTCCTCCATGCTACCTGACCTGAAGGATCCGGAGAAGAGCCAGTTGCGGCTAATGATAAGCTGACGATCGATCGTACGTAGTGCTGCTTCTGGCCATATCGAACAGGGTCCAGGCACCGAGTGCTTACAGCACAGGCACGATACAAGTCCGTTGGGCGAAATATGGGGTGCAGCAGATACCGAACGATCCCAGTGGACGGAATGGGGCTGAGAGCCAACCAAACAGACGTCTAAACTGTACCGGAAGCAAGCAGCCAGGCAGTGAGAGCCACGCGATCGAGCGGCGAACCGAGCCGGATACAGCGGGCGATCTGAGCATCTGTTAGTACTGCTGAGTGCTGCTACGGAGCACCCCAGACAAGCATCACGTTGGCTGGATTGGAGCTGTAGCCGGCAACCCTCCGAGACATATTGCTGCTAGTAGCGGTAGTGCAGTACGATGTTTTGTGTGGGTGCAGGGAGACGAGCGAGGGATGATGCCGCAAAAAGAGTTCAACGGCGAGTGCTAGAACGACAAGCTAGCGGGTACTCGTCCGTAGTAGCTGGCTGTGCTGTTTGTGGAAGTCGATGGTTGGTACTGCTGTACTGTATCATCACGATGGCCGCACATGGGCATGCCATGCTCGAACCAAAGGCCAGGCCAGGCCACCCATCCATCCAATGCCACGTCGGAGCCGACCCGGCGTTTACTGCTGCGAGTAGGACTCGCTCAGGAGTGGCCGTATGCGCACAAGGCGATGGCGCTTGTGGCTGGATGACGCTGCCGGCTTTGTTAGCGCCCTCAACCTCAACATGGCGGTGTTCTATTCGAAGCACTTTAGCCTTTGCTTTTGCAGAAAGAAGCAAGCTGATGCGGCAGCACCGCGCGCTACTGGCCTGAGACGGGAACCCCGTGCAGAGCTCGATGCAAAACCGGCGGCTATGGCGTTACTCAGGCGGGCAACACGCTCAAAGCTACTGCGAGCATGTTCCAGCTCTGCTGAAGCAGGCCACCGAGAAGCGGTTGGGTAGCAGTGATGACGGCATCCTCCTGAAGATATCATCAGACAGCCAGAAGCCTGGCATGATCCTGACGGCAGAGGGAGCAAGAATAGTTCTCGGGGCGCTGCACAATGCCACAAACGCCCGCAATTGCAATCATAGGTTTGGGATTTCCACTGATGGCCAGAGATTAGATTACGCCAAAGGAACCAAGCCTCGCTGCAGCGGCATCGACCACCACCACCAGCCAGCCAGCCATGGGGGAGGCGAAGCAGCTCTTTGCAGATCGATGCCACGGTGTAACAAGCTGCATCGATCCAATGCAGCTCTGCGAAACCCCGAATTAGACTGTCTTGGGCCAACTAAGCTTTTTGTCATGTCGGCAGCGTTCAGTCTGCCACCAGCATGTGGTGCTATTGGGCTGATCATATTCTTGGAGCGTTCCCCTAGAAGGATCTCAGTCTGAACCGCCCATGCTGTGTATGGGTGTACAAGCAGGTAGGCATCTGTGTTACCCTGTTCTTGCTTGCCCAAACGCATGAAATGAGCTTCCCCCAAGCTGCACAAAATCATGGAGGAGGCGCAGATGCTTGAACGATCAGAATGCCCCGTGGGTGGGATCTGCAACACCATGAAGAGAAGCCCATCACCAGATTGGACAATGCCCTGCCGCCATTGGCAAGGAATCCGGCTGGCTGCCGACGGTGGCGTTGGCCCAAACCTGTCATTTGATACGATAACTTGGTCCAGCACACAGCAAATGCATCCCTTTTAGCATCGTCATTCCACTTTGGCCGCCCATCCAACCACCGCACCACGCCACAGTGCGCGGAGGCGTGCTTACTAGAGACCGCCACCTTTTTTCGGCTCTCCCCCCCTGTGCGGATTACTTGCAGTGGTGAGAAGGGTTGGGGTTCATCGAGTGAGTATCAAGTGTGAGTGGGAACGGTGCTGGATTCAGCAATGGGTGGGAAATGAGTGCTACTGTGCAGCTGGCTGAAAAGAGTTGGAGCCGGTGCGCGGCCGGGCCGTGGAAGCTCGCCCATCTGTCGCCAAAGCGTAGACGACGGCCTCGCTGTCCGAGAGATGGTACCTTGGATGGAGATGGTACCTGTAGCGATGGCTTCGAGCTGTGGCTGTGGGGAAAGTCAATCCGCAACGCTGTGGCGAAAACAACAAAAACAGCCTTGGCAGGCAGACGCTGAATTACGATGCCGAAGCGGCGAGCATCATTGTGCATCGGCGGGTCAATACTGTAGAATAAGGTAGGCTGCAGAACTGCCCGTAAAGTAGACTGCCTGCTCTGCCGGAAAGAAAGGGCCAGGCCAGCCAAAGAGGGGCCTGCTCGACTCCCTGCCAGGGGCGTTTTGGCTTGGCTTGAGGTTTCATCTTGGGCCCTGGCGGCAAGCTGGCGCAGGTACAAGGCCGAGCTATGGAGGCAGAATGAGAAACGGAATGCGTTTCTTCGCAGCGTTCCCCGTATTGTGTCGATGTTTGGGGTGTGCAATTTTGATGGTTGAGTCTCGTCCAGCCAGTCAGAAATGCAACGCACACACATATTGTACTGTACAACTGGAGACGCAATATGGAAGATAGGTACTTCTTCACTCCATACAAAAACCGTAGTAATGCCATGTTCTTGAGGTGCACCTGCTTCTATACAACACCCCAATGTCTCGACGCACAAGGCGAGGATGCATCAAGGGCGGTCCTCTCCGCTTTCAAACCCAAGAGGCAAATACTAAAACAAAGACAAAAATAAACATAAAATAAGAAAACCAAAGGCCGGAGCGGGCTGATACTGACTGACTCCGGTTTACCAGCTTGGAGCCCGGCACGTCGGTAGCAGCCGTACATGCAGATGCGGGCCGAAATGAAGCAGCTTCATCCCGATGGGCATCCATCGCATTGACAGAGAATATTGCCTCTAGTATCTCGCTTCTCTGCTTCTCGTTTATTTTTTGATTGATGTCATTGAAAGCAAAACACCGTTCTTTCATCAGGGCCCGGACTGGAAACTACTCGCAGCAGCAAGCCCGAGAGCGAGGTTCCAATTTCCGCCCATGCTTATTGCGAATTTTAAAAAGCAAATTCCCCCATGAAGAGAACTCCTCCATGTCTGTCTGCTTCTCTGCCTGATCGAAACCTGGGCGGCAAATCGATTCAGCTATTTTATTACGAGTACAATTATAGTGAGTACCTGTGGCGCCACTGCAACCAAGCACCAAGCTCCAAGTATCTTCTATGTATAGCAGAATGTTCCTGTACGGAGCAATTGGGCCCAAATAAGCAATTCTCTCATCTTCTCTCATCTTACTGTTCCTGGCCAGAAGGAGCCAGAAAGAGGCGATCCGAATTAGCAACTTCTACGGCACTGTACTGTCGCACCCGTCGTCTTCGTACCAGATCGCTTGCGGGATTCGCACCACGTTGGTCAGCAGAGGTGACAGAAAATCGCGTTAGGCCCGCATGGACCGACGACGCACTAGGCACGAAAACGATGCAGTCAAGTGATCATCCCTTTGAGTCGGCGAGCTGGAATGGCTGGGATAGCCACGCAAACCACGCACTGGGCGTTGGGGAGAGGGTCCCGTCTGTCACAACAACAAAGGGCGCTGGTCAGTTCACTGTGTACTGCTGCCGTACAGTGCAAAGTTGCGCGCACAGTGGCCTTTCTCTCCTAGAAATGGTGGGAAGATCCCTGGGCCTGTACCGTGTGAGTGCGGACGGGATCCTGTTCCTCCCATTGCCACCGTGTGAAGTTGGCAAAGTCTATCCCCATCTGGGCCCCATGCCAGCAAATTTGGGCATCTCACGTTTTGTAGGCACGAAGAGCACGAGTGACTTGGCTTCCACGCAGCCCGCCACGCGACCTCTCGGTACCGGCCAGCGCACTTGGCGTTGTGGAGGCTTCTTGCGATGGAGGCCTGGCGCCCGGTTGGTAATGATGCAGGGGCAAAAGTCTAGGACCACCGAGGCATACTTGCGCATACTGTACTGGACTTGGGGCATTGGGGATCACGGTACAGAGTGAGACATTCGGGCTGTCCAGAGGCTGCTCGCACGGACACTGTGCAGGGCGTCTACCGGTATACGCGCGGTTTATGTTTGTGTGTATTTGTTGATGTTCCCGGTGGCGCTGGTGTCTTTTTACTGTAGCACTTGGCATCGATGTCTCAGCGCTTGTTGCAATATTGGAGTGTACGGATCAAGCATTGGATCAAATGTCCAGATATGCCAGCGCATGCAGTGCATCAGGGCGTCCGTGCGTGCGTGGGAAGAGAATCTGGGGGGAAAGGATTGCTGAGTAGAGCGAGAGCGCCCGAGTCCGTCCGGCTTCATCGCATGGAAACTCGATTGATTGTCTCTGCAGCCAGGCCGCTTGCAGATCAGCACAGTGTGACGGACGCAGCGCTGGAGAGAAGAGCAGTGGGCGGATTGTTGCGCATGCACGGTGTGGTTTGCCACCTGACGACACGGCTCCATCGAATCAGCCCCTGGCATTCGCCCGCTGCTGTGCTGCCGCTGGCGTCTCATCAATGGTGCCACAGTGCGCCGTCACCATCGTACGTGCGGCGGCTACCCTGTAACGTCAAGTACCGCGTGCGGCGCTCTGCAGCAATCCCCACTGTGCACGCAGCCACGCACACGCCCTGGAACCCCCCCCCAAGGGGCCCCTAGTCCCGGTACGGAGCCCTCGACCTGCTACGACCCAGCACTAGCAGCGCTGCTGCACGCCAGCCCAATCGCTAGCCGGTGGCGAAGACGGCGCATCCTGGCTCGCCGGAATCTCATTCGACAGGCTGCGCCGCCGGGGCCTTCAGCGAAGAGGGTCCCCCAAAGGGCTTCGCAACCAAACAAAAAGGCCGCTGCCCGCCGCAGACCCCCCGAGCGCTTCTGCCCTGCTTCCCTCTGCTCTCTTGCTTTTTCCTGCTTCCCACCCATTTGTACCACCCGCCCCCAAACGTTCTGCAGTACCTTCTGTTGCTGTTGCTACCACATTAAACTTCTCTTCACACATTTTTTGCTCTCCAAAATTAGATACATACACAACCCACGCCGGCACTTTGCAACGACTCTTTTCTTCATCGTCCCGATTTGTCGTAACTGTCTAATTCAATCAATCCGCTTCTTCTGCTGCTCAAGCTAGATTCAATACTCTACACCGTCAACTACCAAATCGTTGCTGCCCTACCGCTTAGCGACTAGGCTTCGATTCCACACACAAGATTTTTGCAACCAAGCAACCAAACGTCAACAACAACCCGGGCTCGTCCACCTTCACGCTGGACCACCACCACATCTCCAACTCATAACATAGACTCCCAGACCGAATCATGTCTTCATACTACGGATACAACGCGCATGCTGCGCACGTCGCCTCTGTCTCGCACAACCACCACAGCGGCGGCCGCAACCGCAGAACCCCCCGCCTGACCGTCTCGCAGAACTCGCAGCGCCAGTTCCGCGGCGTGCGCAGCATGAAGGAGCTCAACGAGACGGCTGCCCTGTCCGCCTTTCGCACCCGCTTCGAGGCCGGCCGATCTTTCGATCTCGAGGACGACCTCGAGTTTTGCCCCGGCCTGCTGACTGACAGCGACGTGAGTAGCCCTTCAAGATCGGGGGCCTCGTCCCCCTCGTCTTTGCGCAGCCTCTCTGACTCGCCGCGCCAACAGCTGGTTTCCATCTCCGCCTCGGAGCGCTCCTCGCTCGCCAGCAACTCGCCCGAAGCCTCGCCCACGCAGCAGCCCCAGACCGTGGCCCCCGCCTTCTCGCTCAACTCGTCATCGCCGCCCTTTGTCCCTCCCAGCTTCCAGTCTCAGCCCTCAAGCTTCAAGCTGCACCAGCCCTCTGCCGCGCGCGGTCGCAATGCTATTCCCATTGTCAACCCCGCCACCGGCATCTCCATGCCCAGCCCGCCTGTGTCACTGTCGCCTGGCCGCATGCAGCAGAACATTCGCCGATGGTAGAGTGTCTTGGTGGGTCGTCTGCGCTTCCCTAGTTGGGGAGACGCTGTCATGGACATCGTGAAGACGACTCCCTCGCACTTACTGTCGCGTGCTGTGCGTTCATTGAAGAAAAAAAAGTACGATTACGTCTTTTTGTTTTACGGCACTCTTTTCTTTTGTCATGGCGGGCACAAGCGAAACCTTCAAAAACCAAAGTGACATATCACCTTTTTCGTGGGCTGGGTTCCTCGAGGCTGTTGACTCTCTTCTCTTCTACTCTCTCTCTCTCTCTCTACCTCTCTCTCCCCTATAGACCTGCAGTTGCTGGCAGTTGCCTGCAACTAGTAGTCATAGGCTACCTCATAAAAACACAAAACCATCCTCCTTATCTCGACATATCATCACACCTGTACCCATTCTTATGTATAAGCACCTTTAATCTGCCATACACCGATTTGTTTCGACAGAATTTTCTTACGAGGATATTACCGGCGCGACTTGAGAAAGATCGATACCATTTTTCTGTTTTTGTTGCTTCTCTTGAAGCCGCCTTGCTGAGTTTGAGGCTGGGAACGCATGGCGTTTTTGATTTTTTTTTTTCTTCCTTGTATCACGGCAATTTCCTTGCATTTCTCTATAATTGTGTTGCATCGGTAACCGACAGTGGAGTTGTGGGATTTGTTTTCTCATTTTTATAACGACTATCCGGCGTCTCACCATCTCTGGAAGTGCATTGTCCTTCCTGCTTAAAAACACTATAAAATGCCTTCTGCCTTGCGGTTATACGGGTTACGAAGTCATCAAAGACAACAAAAAAAGAAAGATATAGAAGCGAGTATCTTATGAAATTGTGTTGGAAGCGGCGCGGCTGTTCTTGTCTAGTCACTTACGGGAAATACCTTGGGCTGGCGGGGTTCTTGGGAAGATGAGCGGTTCTTGTTTGCGGCATCACTATACTGGAAACGGTTCTTTTTTTTTACAACCTTTTATTACTATTATTGGGAAACAATCGGGGAGTTGGTCTGAGTCGATTTTCTTTGGGGGAGTTGATTGCGGCTCCGCAGTGTGCAAATCGAACCGGGGAAAGCGGCTTGTTCTTTTGTTTTTTTGTCTCATTTTTCGAAACTTGTTACAATTCCTCCCCATTGGGAGACACAGCGTGTGGATCTGTCCTGTTTGGTTCTTCTTTTCGCTGCTCTGACGAACACGCGAGCCCCTTGTGTTACTGGATATTCCCTCTCTCTCAGTCTGAGAAAAAAAGACCAATGTTTGATTATTATATCGTGTGTTTTTCTATTTTTTGTTTCTATTTTGCGAAGCATATTGGAGTGGGCTTGGGAGGAAGGGAAAGCTATATATGAACAATGAGATCTGGTTTTGCGGGTCGGGTTTTTCAAAGGGATTCTTCTCGGGCTTTTTCCATTCATATTTGGAGTCGCCCCTTTTCGGTGTTGTTGCAAATCTTCATGGGAAATTCTGGGGGTGTTGGAACAGCGGATCGACGTTATCCGGGGAATTTTATATGGCGCATGTGTGTGGTTTAGATACCGCGGCTTGAAAGCCTACAGGACGAGAATATACGATTGTTTGAACAAACTATTAATTTGCCTATGTGATGTCTTTGCCTCTGGATACGGGGAAAAGCTATCCAGCACCCCAATTTTATTATCCAACCCCCAGCTGTTACATACGGTAGCTCGTCTATGTTTTTTGTTGAATTGATACAACTGCAAAATACCTTTTAAAACTAGTAGCACCAGCAGCAATAGCACCAGTAGCAATAGCACCAGTAGCATCGATAGCATCAGTAGCATCGATAGCAGTAGCAGTAATAGCATCAGTTCAATTCGCGTGGTATGCGGGTACCTTTTTGCAGCAAAAGTTACCTACCCGTTTTGGCATCGTGGCGGAGAGCAACACGCTTAAAGCTGAACAGATATACCAAGGCGCATAATGGACTCGAAACTCGTCCATAGACTACTAGTACGACTCAACACTGCATCTCGAATCCCAGGCCAAATCCTTTCATTTTCCCAGCAATTTAAGCATAAAAAGGTGTTTATTATTTGGTTTCATCGATCATCACGATTCAGATGCTTGTGCTTGTGCTTGTGCTTGTGCTTGTCGGAACATGTTGCAATGGTGACGTCACATAGCCGCGGCAGATTGTGCCCTACAAGCAGAAGCTTGGCTTTTCGATGCGAGCTACCTGCGTCGATGAGCGCGAATCCGTACCTTTTCGGTGCGGTGGAGAGAGAGCAGTGACATGACGTTTGCAAATCGGGTTTGTCTCTCTTGTTGCTCCTTTTTTTAAGCTTTGGTCTTAAACTCCTCTCTCTCTTCTCTTTCTTCATCTTCTCTTCTCTAATCCTACCATCTTCCACAATCGACTTACCTTGTCTCTACCTATCTCGACTCACTCACAGACAATCAATTGAATTTTCTTGATCTTCTATTACTCATATACCTTTTCAACATGTATTCTCGAAACTTGACTCTCCGTGCCGTCGCTGCTGCGAGACAAACGGCCATTTGCCATCGCGGCTTTGCCTTTTCCGCCACCAAGAGACTAGGACTCAAGGAATCATCAACCCGTATGTCCAATTCATCTTTTTACTGCAGCACAACTTGTATTAGAAAAAGATAGAAAAAAGAAAAGATTACTAACGAGACTTCCAACATGTAGAAACAAACGTCGACTACGAGCACCACAAAAAAGACTCCCTCGAGAAGCAGAAAAAGGGCTCCGGCCACTGGAAGCCCGAGCTCGCGTCCGACAGCGAAGAGGCTGTCAAGGCGGACCGCGCGTCAAGGGATAGCAATTCGGCGGAGCAGATTGCCGCGCTGCAGGAGAGGACAAAGAAGTCTGCCGAGGAGACGAGCAAAGCTGGAACGAGTATGAGGGATGCCATGTGAAATTGTAGGCTCTTGCATGGGTGGTGTTTTAGTGTGTTGGTATGGTTTAGTTTAGGGTGGTTATAGAGAATGACAATTGCTGCAAGGACAGAGATTGTTTTACATCAACTGAGCTTATCACTATAAATGGCTGATTAAAAGTTTATACAAGTGTCTTATTGCTGAGTGATAGTCGCCAGTGCTTGTGTGTTTGTCCCATGCTATCTATCCATCACAAGATCACAAGACACCAATGAATCTCCATGACTTCATGTCATTAATCAACAAAGAGGAAAGTTTATTGAACTTCATGTACCCAATGCTCATGACATAATTTCTTCTTCTCACTCACATCGTATCCTGTCTATTTACTCGGTTGTTCCACCCAGGCGAGTCAGAATGTATACAAGTTCCAACAGAACAACAAAAAAATAAAAATCAAGACAACTAGCAATTGCACGTTTCGATCGTGCGACCTCCGGGTTATGAGCCCGGCGCGCTTCCACTGCGCCAAATTGCTTTCTTTGATCGAATTCACCTTTGATCTCCTCGTCGCAGCTCACTCGCCTTTTGGTAATTCCTCTCTCCAGGGTAAAATCGAAGCCCTGCCTTTTTTGCTCAATGTCCGCCACCCCCACATAAAGTGCTCGCATCTCCGATCGCTTTTCAGCGGTTATCGATAAACCCACCCACCTTTATCGGACTCATGCATACAGAACTATAGCTTCAACTTCTCTCCGAACAAAGCAATCATATCCTCCTCCCACGGTTCCAAATAAAGAGGCTGGGCTTCTCCAGCCCTCCCTTTCTCTTCTATCACTACTCTATCCTCTTATTTTCCTCGCAATGTCTTCTTCCTCCTCACCATCCTTCCAATCCGCCCTCCTCGCCGGCGCCCTCGCCGGAACCACCGTCGACCTCTCCCTCTTCCCCCTCGACACCCTCAAGACACGGCTCCAATCCTCCGCCGGCTTCTTCCCCTCGGGCGGCTTCTCAGGCATCTACCGCGGCATCGGCTCCGCCGTTGTCGGATCCGCCCCCGGCGCAGCCTTCTTCTTCTGCACGTACGAAACTACAAAGAGCTTTCTCGGACAGCGAATACGACGAAATAGCAGCGACAACGACAACGACACAGGAAATGTATGGGTACCAGCGGATATCCTCACGCACATGATTGCCTCCAGCCTGGGCGAAATCGCCGCCTGCTCTGTGCGTGTGCCCACCGAGGTCGTCAAGCAGCGCGCCCAGGCCGGCCACCACGGCGGCTCCTCCGCAAAGGCCCTGGGCCACATCCTCAGCCGGTACTCGGCCGCGGGAGGGGGGCTCTTCGCTGTGTGGCGCGAGCTGTACCGCGGCTGGGGCATCACCGTCTTCCGCGAGGTGCCCTTCACCGTCATCCAGTTCCCGCTGTGGGAGGCCATGAAGGCATGGGGTCGCCGGCGCCGCAACGACGGGCGGGACGTCTCGGCCGGAGAGAGCGCCATCTACGGCAGCTTAGCGGGAGGCGTGGCCGCCGCGTCGACGACGCCGCTCGACGTGCTCAAGACGAGGGTCATGCTGTCCAAGGAGCGCGTGTCGGTGGGCGAGGTGTTCCGGCGCATGGCGCGAGACGAGGGCGTCCGACCCTTCTTTGCGGGCATTGCGCCGCGCGTGACGTGGATATCAATTGGCGGAGCGATATTCCTGGGGAGTTACCAGTGGGTCATCAACACTATGAACACCATACAATCATGACAGAACAGATCTCACGGCTTTCTTCAAGACATTTGCGACAGACTCATAAAAGGACAAGGATAAAAGAGAAAAGGGTTATATATAGACGCTGTGACGAACGGATATGTATGTATCAATATAGCTGTATAAACATAAAGGCAAACATTAGGAGGGCTCTTTGTATGAATAGGGATCAGCGCTTCGAGACTGTATATCCCTCCCTCCCTATGCCATGGGATACTTTTGTGTACAATAACGACATCAGATGATACCACAAAAAGAATTATTCAGGAGAAATTGCCATGCATATATACCGCTTGTAAGCAGGGATATAAACCGTAGATGAAGGGCAGAGGCGAGGGAATAAAGAAGCAGAAAGAAACGTCACGCTACTAGAAACTTGAAAAGCAGGAACAAGGTATCAGCCAAGAAAGATAACGCGCCTATACGCCATTGGGAGCCTCAGTCGGCTCTACCATGGCTTGCACGGGAGCTGCCTCTACAGGCACTGCATCGGAGCTAGTCCGTAATGGCAGGATTTCCTTACGGCCGTTGGCTTTGTAGTAGAGCATGATGTCGCTTCCGCCCTTCCAGACGTGGGTTCGGAGCGTGGCAAGGTTCATTGTTGGATGAAGGAGCTGTAGGAAGAGGCTTGTGTTAGATAAAACCTGAGAAGAGGGGAAACAGTGCTGGCAACGCCATCTTACCTGGTCATTACAGTAGAGCTCAAGATACTCCTCTGGCTTGAGCGCATTAGGGTCCTCCTCTTGCTCGGGCTCAATCCTCTCGGATATGTAAGCCAGTATCTTCTTCACCCGCAGCATGCGGTTGGCATTCAGTCGGCTGTTTCCATCCGTGGCAATCGGAGGCAGATTGTCCGTGGGATTCAGAATAAACGATATCTTGACAGGGTCCTTCATCGGAATCTGGTTCAGCAGCAGCACGTCGCCGAGCCACATGGGCGCCTTCTGCTCGATGATGTCGGCATCCCGGCCGACGTGCTCCACAGTTCCTTGATACAAGTTTGCACTGCCACCCGATGTCTCTTCTTGGATAATGACCTTGGTTCCAGGGGGCAGTTTCAAAACGGGAGTATCGGATGGTAGGCTCGGCGTTACTCGAGTTTCGACCAGCTTATCGGGTGATTCGGCAGCCTGCTTATCGTACTCGTTTCGAATCTTCTGGATAACTCCAAAGAAGCTATCATCGACCTCCTTTTCATGGTTGGATGAAGACTCGGATTCTTCAGCCTTGTCATCGACGACGGCCGGCTTTTCCTGTGTCGCCTGGGACCCCGAGCGGCCAAGCTTTCTAGAGCTGAAGGACATGCGGAATTTTCTGCTGAATGGAGATTTGCTACTTTCGGCCTTGTCCTTTTCCTTTCCTTTTTCGTTGCCGTTATCCGTGGATGTCTTTGGCTCGGATGTCTCTGCCGTGGCCGCAGGGGCTGCTGCTGCACCGCCAGCTGGCGTAATACCCGCAGTAAAGTAGTCGTTTTCGGCAGATGGACGAGACCCTGCCTTCTCTAGGGGGCTTGCTACAGCCTCTTCTGGCACACCCTGAAGAGTCATGACAGCACCAGGAGACGCCAGTCCGATAGCGAGCCCAGGAGTGGTCACGCTAAGATGGGGAAGACTGGCGCGAGGAGTTAGGAGTTGATCTGATGAATCTCTCATGGACAGACCAGGCGAGGGTATAATGATTGATGATGGCGCATCGGCGCGGGTGGTAGATTGTCTCTTCTCCACGCCTTCATTCAGCTTTTGCCGATGTAGTTCGTCACGTCGAATCTCTTCATCGATGAGATTGGCGAATAGATACCGCAGAATCCATTTTCCTAGGCTGACTGGGGAAGAATGTCAGATTTTTGCAGTAGGCGAAAGCGAGTGGGAGATATCAAACTTACCTCTTTGGTCATCCCTAAATTCAATGGGCTCATCCAGTTCCAGCTCATCGGCGTATACCTCGGCATCGAAGCAGTTGAACGGCTCCAGCACAACTGTGAGGTTGCCGGAGCTCAAGTCAACCGAGCACCACGGCGCAACCGCTTCTCTCGTGTTGATCTGTCTCTCAACGTCTTCCAGATGCTTTTTTCCAAAGCTCTGGACTGGTTTACACTATTCATGGGTAAGCTTTCAAAGTAACAAGGAGAGAGAGAGAGAGAGAGACTGCAGGTTGGACGTACCTTGATTAGATCCCATAGCAATATGTCGCCGGCGGTATCTGAAGTCAAGACTCTTCTTCTATCGTTGAGTAGCTTGTGCTTCACAAGACCAAATTGGCCTTCAATCGTTTCTATAGGCAAATTATAGATGGGTTTGATTTCCGGCTCTGGCTGCTCCACAGCAACTTCTGATCCTTTTCTTGACAAACCATCGTTGACAGGATTCGGTTCTGAGTCCAAGGGCGCGCGCAATGGGAAAGTGGCTGTATTGGATACTCGTAAGATTGACTCGGCAGGAATTTCTTTTTTGGCTTCTCCGTTTGTTTGCGGTTGAGATGCTGTTACTGCTGCTATTGACGCTGCTGCCGATTGCCGTGTTTTGTTTGATGCCGCTGACAATGCGCGCTGACGCCGGTACGACTCGGGGAGTGGCAGGTCTGCGCTCGTGTCCACGTCTTTCCAGCGGTTGATTGATGATCGGTCGGTAGCGGTCCAGATGTGACCGCCCGTAGCCACAACCTTGGAGACGCCAAAATGTTCTTTTGCAATAGCGAGACTTAGTCCGTCATCAATATCCTCTAAGCTGCCTCGTACGTCGGTCTTGGCAACGAGGCCCGATCTGTCGCTGCTGTAAAAGGTACCGAGGCGGGGGTCGTCTGAATACAGCGACCAGATGCTCTCGTCGTGCATGGTAAATGTATACACGCAACGACCACCCCTGACGCTCCACATCTTGATCGTCTTGTCGGCACTGGCGCTCAAGATGGTGTCACCCACATCATCAATCAGGATGGCGCGGATATTGTCTACGTGGCCGACGAGGTTGGAAACCTTGGAGCCGGAGCGTGGATCATAGAGTTTGACCGTCTTCTCGGGTCCGCCACTGGCAATGAGGTTGCGGCCCACTGCGAGAGCGTAGACGGATCCCTTCTCCGTAGTCTCTTCGCCCTTTGTAACCTCGAGTGTCTGGCCCCCGCCGTTGAGATCCCAGAGACAAATCTTGCGGTCGAGGCCGGCCGAGGCAACCCAGTTGGCATTGACATCTCTCGGGGGCGTTGCGACGCATTTGATATAGTCGGCATGCTCTCCAATCTTGAGGGCGCGGTTGCCGCCTTCCTGAGAGTGTGGCCGCCAGACTTTGACGGTGAGGTCGGAAGATGCCGAGACTAATGCGGTGTTCTGCTGCGCCAGAGTGATGTCGTTGATCCAGTGCATATGCGCCTGCGTCTGCGCTCGGAATGTGGTGGTCGATTTGGGTGGCTTCGCGGATGCGTCGTCGGTGACGTCGGCTCGGCGATGCAGGTCAAGGTTCAGATCCCAGGCGCAAATCATGCCATCTCGACCGCCGGAATAGCTAAAGAAAAAGAAGGCCCATATATTAGCGAGGTTTTATTGTCTTGGACGCATACCCTGAGCAAGCAGCGCAGACTATACAAAGTTGAGAGTCGCTTACAGGATGGCGTTGTCCGGATCGACGGCGAGGCCATTGACACCAAGGCGATGTCCGCCAGTCGAGGACTTGGCATTTTCGAGAACTGGTAGGACAAGATCAGCAACTGTAAGCCAACGTCTCCCCCAAAGTTGATTTGTCCGGGCCCTTTCTACAGAGCTGTCGGTTCGGCGTCCGATATGCCATGGGCCGTCTGTCGCGTGCGGGGTGGGCTCACGACATGCATGTGCAAAGCCATCGAGCAGTGACAAATGCCGCCAGAGCACGGAGTCGCGGGGGTCTCACCGTAGCTGATCCTTTGACGCGCCTTCTTAGCCATGGCGAAACAAAGTCATAAAAGCAGCTCAGCGAGAAAGCGAGGCACGTCGAAGCTGTCCTGGGAGCGAATGACGATGGGCTCAGAAGCGAGAGAAGAGGGCCGCCTGGAGTCGTTGCGGATGCTACGCTGGGGAACCTTAGTCGGCGGTGGGAGCGGCTGGATTGGCCAGGCGGAGCTCCCCTGTAGGCCCTGCAGCAGTGCGGCCTTTAGCGCCTGCCGGTGTCATTCCACGTGTCTCTCAGTGGCTGTGGAGCAGCGCCGCTATTGATTCGCGAGAAAAGCGCAGCAAAGGCCAGTTGCAGCGCTTTTTTAGCCGGGAGTATTCCTGTAGCTTTCCCCAGGTGGGGGCCGCGGATTAGCGATCAGCGAGACCCCGAGCCCTGGGAAAAGCAGCTCGAGGTGCTGAAGATTGTCCCACCAGAGAGGTGAGTTGCAGCGGCATGAGATTAAGAGGTGGTGATGCGTGAGATGGGACTGAAACGGGCAGGCCATGGAGCTCATCGAAGCTTTACTAAGCAGACGCTACGGGTTCATAGAATTCGTGTAGCGAAATATATTGTGTGCGCCAACTCTCATAACTAATGGAGGTATCATGATTTGAAATGAAAAAGAAGAAGAAAAAAGAACGCTGTTCTCCGGTCTGCCATCGTCCCCTCCAACTCCCTTCTATACATGCAGCCAGGCTTCCGCTTTTCATCGTCGTATCGTCATTCGATCGTTCGCGCGTCTATAACACCACTGTCTTTCCAATCCAACGTCTCGAGTAATCCACGAAAGATTCGGCATATGGTATATCCAAAGCGATGGAATGATAAATACTTCGCGCGGACAGCGCCAATGTCGCCTTTTTGAGATTGAGGTAATTTAGCATGATGGAAAAATGCTGGTAGTAAATGAAATTATCAATCCGCTGGTGTAGTTGGGGTAGGTACACGCGTCGCTTTGCATGTCCGAGCTTGCCGCGTTGAGGTTGCTCCAAATATCGACTGCCGGCAAGCAACGCTCAGCAGCTTTGAAAAGGCACGTTATATCCCTTGCTTCGTCTGTGATGATGGCCTCTACATGATGACGCATTTGCATGAGCAGCCCATGGGGCACCATCGAGCAGAGTGGACTCGATTCTTGCCTTCGCATTGGGGGCAGTCCTCGGTGTCATATGCGATCTCCTCTCTCGGACCGGGGCAGTCCTCGCGATAGCATCGTGTGTTCCCTCTGGAGACCTGGTGCTTGCACCGGTATTCGATGACGCTGCGTGTACACATTGTGCTGGAGCCGGTAGTGCTGGGGTTGGTAGTGCTGTCGTTGAGAAGCTCGGACTGTCGCAGAGGGTGAAAAGCCGCGATGGCACGATCAGTTGGCGAGGTATGAAGGCGATGCTGTTTGCGAAAAAGGTGTTGTTCTTCTCGTAGATTATATTCACAAGTCAAAAGCTAGTCCCGCTCAACGGCATTGTCTCAGGGTCAACGAGCGTAAAGCGTAAAGCATAAAGCATGTGGAAAGCATAAGCATATACTACAAGTACGACACATCAGATGGAGGCGATGCACCGTTCTTGACCAAAGGCCACCTCCGGTATTTAACGTTTGATGGGACGACGGGCTGCGCGCAAAATAGCGACCCGGCGCACTGTTAGCTGATCTGATGCCAAGGGCAGATTCCGCAGCTACCGAGCCAAAAGGTACGATGGGCGTCGCTAGAAAAGTGGCCGTGGCGCGTAATCACTGCGGTTCGGGAACCCTTTGAGCCCCGAATGGAAGGATTTTTTTCTTTCTCATCGCACGTATGCACCGAGGAAGAGGCGCGCTAATTATTAGGTGAGGTACGCTGCCGGTGGCGGTGCCAGTTCCAGTCCCATTTCGAGTGCCTTCTCCAGTGCCAGAGCAAGCTATACGCACACGATACGAGTACGCAGTTCCGCAGCTTGTCTCAATCGAGGGCCCCTGGTGGCGCATGTGACTCGCTCATCTTTGTCCCTAGGAGTTTGCTGTGATTCATAGCCTGACTGGGCGGTCGGGATTCGCGATAGCCGCGGTTTGTGGTCCGAGTCTGGGGCATCATCGCATCGCATCGCAAAGAACTCGTTTAACGACTGCAAGGGACTTGTTCGATATCCACCTCGGAGGGCTAGTGACAGAGCGGTACAGAACCTCGAAAGGCCGAGTAGATTGCGTGGCGCCGGGCTATGAAACTGTTTCAAGGGCATTGAACAATAAACCCATGAGTTGCAGGTTAGGTGACATAGAGCAAGCTTGGCTTTGACTGGGATATTCACGATTCCCCCAGTCTCATCACACAACCAGCAAGCTGATGCTACTCTACGACTAAGCAGGGCATTTAAACTGCATCTGCCTAGCAATTTTGTAGTACTACTACTACTAGTGGTCAATACTACGTGCATTTCGTATAGTAGGGCGCTCCATGGATCATGAGATTAACTTTGGTCGCTTGCCGCAAGACTTCAATGCCTCTCGGTGATCCACAGGCCCAGTCAATTACGGATAATGCCAGAGTCGTATCCCAGACGGAGCACCGCGTACGAAAGCGGTAGCTGGAGCCTGTCTGTAATATCATCTGCAGCACCTTTAATCCGTTAGCACAGGGCTAGTCGCACAGCTTCTGGCAGCGCTTCAGGCCTGCCGGGATTGGCGCAATCCTGGCGGCGCAACCCCAAACTCCCCGGCGCATCGTTAATCCGGTCGCCATGAACTACACGAAAAATTGCTTCAATATCACGGCCGACGCCAGACCTTTCACCATCTTCTAGCCCAAAGGCAACCGACATTTACGGCCTCAAAGACGGGGCGCTTACTGTCTTGCCTTGACCCAGAGTGAGGCGACTCCCCCGGAACAGCGCTGCGACCGTCCAGCGGCTTCCTCTCTACTTTTGCGCCCGTTCCAGGCTGCACGTTCATTCTCTTTTCGAATCCCGCCAATAGTGCCCAAGTTGGCCTACTTTTCGCAAGTCGCATTGTGTCCAACGGTCTAAATCTATATCAATACAACCCGATCGCTAGTGGCTGTACATCTCTGATTACAATATTTGCGCGCGCGAGTCCAACCTGTGAACGTTGATTGTGCTGTGTTGGTCAAATACTATCTAGTACCTACTTGCGAGCTGCTGCTGCTGTCGCCGTACTGTCGATCGCTCGCTCGCTCTGGCTCTCAAGTCTGCCATTGACCGATCCTAGCTGCCCACTATTCGATCGCATTGTGACGTATAAAACAACGTTATTTCGACCTCAAACTCAAACTTCTGCTGTACCACATTAATCCGCCACCATGGCTGAACCTGCCCGCCCCGATATCCAGAGCATTCTGGCCGCGCTTGGTGAGACACTTAGATAGTTCTGTTATAGAGACTGGACCATGGACTAATAGTGCGCATCAGCTTCCCAGAGGCCACCATCGTCGACCTCAACTCAGACACCTCCGGCAGCAACCGGCGCATATCCAGCGCCGCCTGCTGGTGCGCCGCCGGCATCGTATCAGCCCCCGCCACCGGGTGTCGCGAGCTTCCCCGGTGGCTCTGGGCTGCCTGCTCCGGCGTCTAGCGGTAATGTCGATCTGAGCGCCCTTCGACCTGTCAACTCGGGAACTATGAACTTTGACGACATCATCTCGAAAGCGCGAGCCTTTGCGACCGAGAAGGGCATCACACCCTACGACCGCCCGCTTGTCTACGGCGCTGAGTCTCGAAACTCGGATCGATCCTACCGTCGATCTAGGTCGCGATCTCCCCCGCGAGGCGGTAACGAATACCACAATAACGGCAGTTCATATCGCGATGATCGCCGTGGAGGACAGGGTCGAGAGTATGGCCGCGATCGTTCTTATTCCCCCCCATCACGTGGCCGCACCTTTTCGCCTCGTAGTGGCGGCAGCGGCCGCGAAAGATCTCCTCTGAGAGGAGGCGATGACAACTCTGAGACTATCCAGATCGAGTCCAGCTTGGTTGGCTTGATTATTGGCCGCCAGGGCGAAAATCTGCGAAGGATTGAGGCCGACACCAACTGTCGCGTGCAGTTCCTGGCAGCTACTGATGGCGGCCCATTCAGACAGTGCAAGATCACTGGCCCGCGCGCACGTCGCGCTGAAGTTAAGACGGCTGTCAATCGCATTATTGAAGACAGCGGAATGGGAGCCCTTAACCGCGCCCAAGAAAAGCCTCGCGATCCTGCCAGAGGGGGAGCAGCAGCTTTAAGAGATGGCGAAGACCATATGCAAATCATGGTCCCCGATCGTACAGTTGGCCTCATCATCGGCCGAGGAGGCGAGACTATCCGCGATCTGCAGGAGCGATCTGGCTGCCACATCAACATTGTTGGTGAATCAAAGAGTGTCAACGGCCTACGACCTGTAAACCTCATTGGTAGCCGTGAAGCTGCTGCCCGGGCCAAGGATTTCATCATGGAGATTGTCGATAGCGACAGCCGAGGCGATGGCCCTGCCTCCGGCACCAAGAAGCCTGCGAGCGCTTCTCGCAACGATGGACCTCCGAGAGACTACACTGGCGGCGGCGCTGGTGACAAGATCACTGATGCGATATATGTCCCATCTGATGCAGTAGGTATGATTATCGGCAAAGGAGGCGAAACCATTCGAGAGATGCAAAACGTCACGGGCTGTAAGATCAACGTAGCGCAATCATCAGGCCCTGGTGAAGTTCAACGAGAGATTGCACTCGTTGGGACACGGGAAAGCATCGCCCAGGCCAAGCTAGCAATTGACGAAAAAGTAGATGCCGTGGTACGTTGAAAACGCCATCGCGTAGGCTATTTGATGAATGCCAGGCTAACATACAAGTAGCGACAAAAGAGCAGCGGTGGTGGTGGCGGCGGCCGTGGCCGTGGGCCTCAGGATGACCGGCCAAGCTATACCCACCAAGGCCCTGATTCCTCTACTAACCAACCTCCTCAGACTTCTTCAAGCGATGGCACAGATCCATATGCTCAATGTGAGTCCCTTCATACGGCTCTCACCCTTACTGGCCCTTACTAGCC